TAACTGCTGGTTCCCTACTTCACATTTTTTAAAATAATTATTTTATTTATTTTTTAATTTGTTTTAATTTGACCAGAGAGAGAAAGCGACAAAGCAAGACACTAGTCTGGGACTTGAACCGGGCTTGGCTGCATGGGAGTCCAGTGCCTTAACCACCACACCACTGGCCAGCCCCACTTTACCTCACATTCTAACAGGCAAGTTTGAGAGCTCTGGAAGCCTGGGCTGCACCAGAAAGAGTCCCACCCCTCTTGCTTCCGTTGACACGAAGGCACAGGAAAGAAGGTGCATGGAGGAGACTGGGCGAGAGGCCATGCAGCTCTCCCTGCCAAGGCTACCACGCAGCTGCCTTCAGCTGCCCACAGCAGCACTGACCTTCCTTCAGCTCCTCACCGAGGGAGCGACTGCCTGGACCGTGGACCCTGGACTCTTGTAGCCCAAGGTCAACCTTGGCCGGCTCTCTGTGTCTTTCCTGTCATTCGCCTTTGTTAGTTGTGCTGTGTCTCCTTCTGTTGAGCAGGGCAGAGGAAAGGAAAAAGAACGAAAGAGAGAGAGAAAGCATCCAGTGTTGCTTAGCAGCCCAGACTCAAGGCAAGTGAACTCAGCTAGAATAAATTATCCTGGGAGGAAGCAGGGGCTCATTCCCCCAAGGTCATCGAGACAAATTACTGATTCGAAATGAGTTAGAAGCAGGCGGGCTTGAAAGCAGGGGCGGAATAATATCACTGGTGGAAATGCAGCCCGGGATTCTGGGCTCTACAAAAGGTAGCCAGCCTCGCCTCCTGGTCAAACACCTCGGGCTTTCAGCTCAGGCCTCGAGCTTCCTGGCTGGAAGCGTTAGCCATTACAGATAGTGCTGTGTGTTCGGTTATAGCGCAAATGATCCCAGGGCTACCAGGCAGAGCCACCAGGCACTAGTGGGAGGGGTTTATGTAACACTTACAGTTCACTGTGTGCCAAACCCTAAAGTCACGCAGATGTTATCTTGTGTATTCCTACTGCCTTGTCAGTTAAGTATTCTGATCATCGCTGATTCATAGCAGTCAGAACAATGGCACAGAGTAGGTAGAGCAGTTGCCCAAGGTCACAGAGCTGTAAGAGGCAGAGTCAGGGCTTGCACCGGGGCCACTGGTTCTACAGCCCAGGTTCTTATCATGCCTCAAAAAGTATGATGATGGGGAGGGAGAGGACGGGGAGACGGCTCCCCTCTGCAACACCAGTGGACCGTATACTGCACAAAGACAAGTGTGGCCACCTGCTGGAGACCGAGGATGGCCCCGTGATGCCTGCAGTCTCTCCGCCCACTCTCGAGTGCTCCTGAGCATGCTCCCGGGTGGTCACGCAGGTCAGCCTTGCAGGAAGTACGCAAAGCAATGCTAGAGCCTCGGCTGGCTGCCCGAGGACCCCGACCTCCGTATGCACAGGCGTTCTGCCTCACAGCAGCTGGGACACAGAAAGGGCCCTGACCCCATCCTGGCCCTTTGAGCACAGCTACCCACTACCCTCTCCCCACTGAGACCCCACAGCAGCCCCCACACCGATGCCCCGTCGTAAGCATTCTGTCTCTTCCTCATTCTCAGTCTCATGGATGAAGAAGCTGAATTTTCTGCATCTATTTCTCAGCCGTTCCGTTCGAAGACCCATTTAGGCTCCATTTTCTGTGCTGTGTGATCTCCATTGTCATCGCCTCTGCTTCACCTCCTCCCCCGATACTCCAACTTCCCCCAGTCCCTGACTGCTGCAGCCCCTAGAGCTGGGTGGGGTAACCCGTCCACCCTGACCCTGCCACCGCTGACCTGGGGTCCCACACAAGGCAGCAGATGAGATAGCCATGACAGTGCAGAGACACTCCGTAACTCTCCACGGCCCAGGATGGGGTGACAGCTCGGTCGTGTTTGTGTCAGAGTCACGAGACAGAGCGAGTGACCGGCCAGGAGGCTGCTGTCTTCCCGAACCTTTATTGGTCCCCTCGTCCCCCACAGGAGAGCCTGAAGGCAGCACGGACATGGACGGGCCGCGTCACGCTTTCTCCTCTGCGGGGCCTGCTTTCCCACCGGGGCTGCTCACAGAGTTTCTCTGCTGTGAAGATCGGCTCGATGATTCACACGATGATTACCTTCAGTGCACTTCGGGAAGCTGTAGGGATGTGCTTTTCCCTCTGCTTTCAGTTTGTCCAGATGGGCACACAAAAGCCAACGAGCAAGGGCACAGATGTCATTTCGTTGTCTCCTGTGCTGACAGGAGGAGCAGGGACTTCTTCACTTGTGGGTCAAAGTTCTGGAAAAAAACAAACCTGCTATTGAAAATGACATTTCACGGCATGCACCCATGAATCAGTGACCAAAACAAGGCCATGATATTCAGCTCCAGAATCCCATTTGCCTTAGTGGAAACTGTAAAAAGAACTCATCTGCGTTTTGTCCCCTAGGTTAGCATAGCAACGGCGACTGCCGAGTGGTATTCAGAAGCCAGAACTGGCAGGTAGCTAGGAAAACACTCACTGGGCTTGAAAATGTGGGTCATGAAAAAGCAGACAATTACAGACCTGTGAGTGCTTCGAGGCAACGGCTCCAACGTCAGTCCTCCCTGGATTCTCTGCTTTCAGGGAGCTCACAGCCCCAGGAGGCAACCTGGCAAACAAAATACCCACAGTGGAAACACCACAGCCTGGCCCATAGCTCAGTGGTTAAAGGAGTTGGATTCCACATGACCAACCATGGTTCAAATCCTGGCCCTGATGGTTTGGAAAACAAGTCAGGCACCTATGCCCCAAATCCTTCCAGGAAGCACCCACTGGGGTTCTCTCTCTCTCTCTCTCTCTCTCCCTCACAAAAGCATGTGCCCTCTCACATTAAAAATAATTGTTTTAAAACAACATAAGTTGTCATCAAGTTACTGAAGGCGAAGTAGTGCTGTGAGGAAGAACGAGAGATCCACATTTTAAACATAATGCAGAAGCTTGTTTCCTACAAATACAGTCATATATCAACTCTTAGCACTCTTATCCTTTCTTTAACCCAAAATATAAAAAGTTGCCTTTCAACAAGAGTTCAACAATTTGATTTCCAAAGATGGCATAGTATCTACCCTAGAATATAGATGTCATCTGATTCCCTGTTGGTGTTTAGATTTGTTCCAATCTATTTAAATAGCTATTCCATGAATATCTACGATGAATTGCATATGATTTCCTCAAAATAGACTCCTACAAATGGAGCTTTTTTTTTTAAGAGAGAGTTGTTTTTTTGTTTGTTCATTTGTTTTTACTATAAGGTGTATGTATTCACTGAAAAACAGGGAGAGACAGAGAGACAGAAAGCAAGAAATCACCCTCTAGGGGTATGGCCACACTGCAATCCCTTCTCCTTCATCCTCCTCTCAGGATTTCAGGCATGCACACACATGCACCTGGCATGAGTTCTAAGCTACCAAGTCTGGGACTTAAACTACTGTCGACTACATGGGAGTCTGGCAATGTAACCATTAAGCACCTGCTGGTCCCCAGATGGAGCGTTTTTAAAGACCTTCAAACGCACCGCTTACCTTCTAAAGCAGGCCCACTCTGCTGTGCCTCCTCCTGCTGCCTCCACCACGCTGGCCTTCCCTTCCATTCTTGACAAGGCCGAGGCAGGCTCTGCATCTGGATCTTTTTTTTTAATAGACCGTAGATTAGTTTATTTTTAACACCCATCATGCCATGAATTCATAGGGAATAGGTTCCAGTAGCTCAGACTCCTTTCCATGAGTTCTCACAGTGTCTTCTCTGGGTGGAGCAGGCTGGCACTTTAGTTGAACCCAAGTCCTTCCTCTTTGGCTTCCTTCTTTTTCTGGTCATTTTCCTTCACACATTTTAGGAAGTTATCTCTGCTCTTAGAATGCTTAATATGCTCAATACACACAATAATTCTCTTGGCAAGAATCTTGCCCTTAATTTGTTTGTTCACAACAATGCCAACAGCATGCTGGGTAACTTTGCAGACTCTTCCAGTTTTGCCATGGTAACATTTGTGGGGCATTCCTTTTTGAACAGTACCTACTCCCTTAGTGTCTACACTATCACCTTTCTTGTAGATTTGCATGTATGTCGCCAAAGGAACCACTGCATGTTTTCTAGAAGGCCTAGAGAACATATATCAGGTGCCTCTCTTCTTTCCCTTTGTGTTCATTTTGGTGAATTACTGGAAGATGGTGGTTCTGGCCAAAAGGAAGCTGCATCTGGATCTTTCAAAATGTTCTAACCAAGTTGAATCCTGAATGGCACCATCTGTCAGCAGGATAGTCAATTACTCTTGATGCCCTGGCTTGACCCCTCCTTCCAGGGGCCTACTGATGGCTGCTCTGGAACACAGTGAAGTCTGGTTTCCTTCTTCAGACCCACGACAGCCTCCGTCCTGAGGTGACAGCCCACACCCATACTTACCAAGAAGTGACTGCATATTTTCTGGGACAGGAGTAAAAGTTTCTGAGGCTATGAAAGTACTCAACATGCACCCTCCAATGCAGTGGCTCTCCGGGGGCACTTCAGTAATGTAAACTGAGGTGGCGGTTGCTTTCTGGGACTGCAGATTCTATAGTGCATGATGTTGACACCCACATACACACATGAGTCAAACCAAGGTCCTGACTGGGTGAGGAGCCACGACCGCAGAGCACCCGCCCTCCCACCACCGCGGTAATCCTCAACACAGACTGCACAGAGCAGAGATTCTGGTGCCGACAGCGCCATGGCCCCCTAATGTTCAAGATGTTCTGACACCAACACCTCGGGCCAGTCCCTCACATGATTCTCCATGGCATGTTTGGGGATCTTTGTTAACATAGATACAAACCCATGCACTGGGAGCAGGTGCTGAGCCCGTGACCTGCAAGAAATTGCAGACAACTCCCCATGATGTTCCAGGATTTCTTGCCCAGCCGTCCAGCAAATAGGCAGGCAGACAGCCCCCAACCTGAGAATCACATAAACCCCGAGAGATGAGGTTGAGGCTCATAACCAGGCACCCGCTGTAGCCAGCCACATCTGAGCCAGTTGTGGTCAAGAAAAGTGGCAGGTGGTTCCAGGACCTCCTACAGCGGTGGGGCTGACATTGTCCCCCTAGCTTATTGGTTCCCCTCAGCAGGAGAGACCCATAAGAATCTTTCTTCTTCTACAACTATGAGAAAGTGGGTCTGAGCACCAGGGCATCTGGGCACCCAGGGTGGATCTGAGGACCAGGGGTGGCCCAGGCACACAATAGAGGGGCCTTGTGGGACAATGTCCTGCTGTCTGCAATGCAGCACCTCTTGTCAGGCATCCAGCAAGCCTGACGATGTCACCAGGGGTTGGGTGGCTGGGGTATGGTGACAACTCCTTCAAATGTCTTTCCAAGGATCCCACTCATCCCTGTTTCACACTTGCAGAGTAACCTCACCTTCAAGTTTCTTTCTCTAATAAAGTTTTATTCTAGAATGTGTACTGTTACTCTTAGAGGTCATCAACACACACAGTACACATACACCATACATCACACACATTCATGTCACATACACAGCACATGTACCACACACACCACACATACTACACATACCACACATACTACACATACACACACCGTGCTTATATTAGCTTCTGCACACAGTAGTCATGTAAGAGATGTTCATTTTAATTGAGTTAATGCATTCTACACAAAAAAGTATTAACTTTTTAAAAAAATATTCCATTCTACTGATTTATTGCTGCCTTCTGCGGTGCTGATGCAGAATTTCATCCTTAGTCATTTATTTCCATCTCAGTGTCATGTTTCCACCTCAAAATAAAACTCAATTTGAGTAAATCTGCATCAGACAGTAATCAGATGCTTATTAAATAAGCATATTTGAAGCTTGGGTATATGTGACAGTTCTTTCCGAGCTCAACGCTTAGGTTAGCTTTCACGGGGGATGCCGACTGAGTTTTAGTGGCGACGGCAGCAGTGGTTCAGCTCGTAAAGACTGATCGCCACGTCTTGGCTGGAAGTGGCCCTTGTCAAGGCACACCGGCCTGCCCTAGGCTGCTCCTCTCCAGGGTACCATTTCCAAGATCTGTTTCTTGACTTTTCAGTCCTAGAACCATGATTTGTCAAAACACTTGAAGTCCATCGGCCTTTCTGATGCTCAGCTTAATGGAGACTACCACGGAAACAAAAGGTCAACTCAAGTTTAGGAAGTGCTGTGGGGGGGCCCACGTCTGGGGGTAAAGGGAGCCAGACCTCACATGGTCGACTGTGGCTGCAATCCCAGGCACAGTGACTTGAGAAACACTGGTACATGTGCATGCATACAACCCCCCAGTCATGAAAGAAAGCAGAGATGGAACAGGGATTGTGGTATGACCATGACCCATTGTGAGGTGATTTCTCTCTCTCTGACTGGTGAATGCCACCATCGTCTAGCAATTTCTTTTTTAATTTACATAAATAAATGAATAGAAAGCAAGCATGGCTGTACAGTTCGGAGCTCAGACTTCCATGCCATCCTACCAGCACATTGGCTCTGCGGCCTGTGGTCTGCTCCACAGTTCTCCACGTCCTGTCAGGAATTGTCTTCCTCCTTGCCCAGGGACAGCTGGGAGTGAGGGTGCCCTGGCATGCGTGGAAAGCAGGTACATCATCCTGTGAACAGACTGAAGACACAGCCTGGGGTGTCAACTGAAACTGCTGGTCCCTGGGGTGTCAAGTGAGGCAGCTTCATTCTTGCTCATGGGTGTTATGCTCTCTGTAACACCTTCAGACATGCGCTGTACACAGAACCCCCTGACAGCAGCCAAGACGGTCACTTGAGTCGCACATTTTCAGACCCAGTTTTACATAGATAGAAAGATAGATAGATGATAAATAGATATGGTTTTTGTCATAGGGTGTGTGCACTCACTAGAGACAGAGAGAGGGACAGAGAGCATGAAATCACCCCTCAGTGGGATGGCCACAGGGCAATCCCTTCTCTCAAGACTCTGGGCATGCATGCAAATGCACCCAGCTTGATTTTCAAGTCTCCAGGTTTAGGGCTTGCACCATGGTTAGCCACATGGGAGTCCAGCACTTTAACCACTATCCACCTGCCAGCCCCCAGACCCATTCTATTTTATTGTCTAAATGTGAGCCACTTTACTGCCTTTTATATTACATATGTATTTCTGATATGCAATTTCCAGCTTAATGCTGTAATATCTGTGTAAAGGCTTCTCTGTGAATTCTGAGTTCCCTTATTACCATATTCAAGTGAACAGATATTTATTGAGTGTCATGAAAGCCAGGAAAGAGATTTACTAGAGGAATCGTGACATTGCAGCAGCAAGCTCATCGAAGGACTTTAGAATGATTCCTGAGCAGGAAGGGCAGAGTGGCCCATGGTTGTCCTCGTCTCGGCACGTTGAGGAATATGGGGGAGTCAGAGGCTGCCCCAGGTCTGTCACATTCAAGAGCACACACTGGAGCTGCAACCAGGGATCAGGAAGCCTCCTCTGTCACAGCTGTCACCAGCTCTCGACACAGGCTGCTGCTGCAGAAGGGCCCAACGTGCCTCAGCAATGAGGTGCCAGGACACCGGGGCGCCGGCCTGCCTCAGCTGTGTCTCCCAGATCTCATCCACCAGGACATCCCTACGCTTGTCCAGAAGACTTCAGTATCTAAGAGAACCCGGAGGCATAGCAACGCCCACAGTGCAGGAAATGGCCTCCATGGCAGAGACAGTCCACACTCAGTTCTGAGAGGAGGGAGCACATGTTCCCAGGGCCACAGAAAAACTCTACAGTGGTCAGAGGCAGACAAGGAGGATGGCAGCCAAAAACATTTATTGTGATTTCCACCAGAAGGGACAGCAAGGCCAAGTAAGCAGAACTTGGACTGACTAGTTTGGGTCATCTCAGTGAGCTCTGTGGTACAGGCATTGTCTGCAGCCATCTGTGGTGATGAAGGCAGAGGAATAGTGGCCTGAGGATAAAATCCCAATAACGAAGGAAGCTGGGGCCTGGACTCTGGGCTGGCTGGTCTGGATTTGTAAAGCAGGCTCTGGGCAAGTTGTTAGCTCTCACTAAGACTTGGCCAGCTCTGCGAGGGCCAGTCCCTCCAGGGCCAGCAAAGCCCAGGTGCCAAAGCATTAGAATTCAGAAAATGAAAGGCACAGGGAGTCTGCAGAGGACAGTTCTGGCTTTCCAGCCTCTGCAAGGGAGGAAGACACAAGCAGGAGGCTCGTGGGTACTGGAGGCCAGTGCCCCTGCTCGAGGTAAGGCCTTTAACAAGGCTCGAGGAAGACACGACCCTCATGCTAAGGTACTCACAGCCAAGAAAGAGACGGGAGAGAAAACAGCACATGATAGTGATACAAGGAAGACGCTGGGGAGGAGATTGGGGTTAAGTGGGGTTAGCAAAGTGAGAAAAGGGACCCCAGAGTCTCCCAGGAACCAACATGAAGTAAGAGAAAGAGGGAGCACACCCAGCTGGGGGACCAGGTGTTCCAATCTGTTCCATTGCTGACAGAAAATGCGTCACACTGAGTTATAAGAATAGAGGTTTACTGGGGACCAGAAAATGGCATAATGGTTACGCACCAGATTCCCACATAGTCAACTGTGGTTTAAAACTCACACCGGGCAGGCCCAAGATCCTGAGA